TTTTCCTGACAATTGCGGAGCCGTAAGTGATGAGCACGGCGAACGTTTTCATCAGGATATTTCAACAATGGAAAAAAGGTACCAGGGAAAGTGGAATCCTTCCATGCTTGCAGACTACTGTTGGACTCTTGGTAGAGATGCTCCAGAAACGATCCATAAAAGAACAGCAAAAAGACAGCGCATATAGTGATTCTTATAAGTATATGAATCTTGTTACTTTTTTTAATATATCCTTAAAAATAAAAAGTTTTTTTTCTAAACCGCAACTAATTTTTTTATTTCATTGTCATTTTTGGATTCAGCGCCCCAAAATTAACAAAGAAGTGCACTTTTCCCACAAGATACAATTAAAAAGCTAAAATTTGTTAACCAGATAATTGAACATGAATTTGAGATTGAGAATAATGATCTTCCAAGAGTTGATCAAATTAACTTATCAACTTCAAAAATATCAAATGCATTCAAATTTTATAGATTTATATTCAAAAACTGTGAAGCGTTCTATGATATAAATGTCCTGAAATAGAATATGCATCTTGCTATAGTCCTAGTACTGATAGCAGTATCTTGTTCCGCGACACCGCCAAACTCAGGCGTTCGTATGGACCTGGGCCTGTTTCTATCATTGATGGTAATGGCAAAACTTCCTAAATAACATTATTGTCAAAAACATTATGAAAATGAATTAAGAAAATTTACCTCATCTTCGTAATCTACGGTCTACGCTTTCAAAGGAAGTTGCCGATCGGGAAATGCTTTTTCCATCAGAAAAACCGAGACAAAAACTTTGTAGAGAAATTTCGCAAAGAAAGAAATAATTCTCTTCTAGAAGAACTGACTCGCAAATGTCATACCTCAATGCAGAAACGATTTTCTGTTTCCGAAGACATTTGTGATTCTTTTAGTAAACATTAATGAACCAATTTTTTCGTGACAGACTAAAAAATACAAAAGACTAAGAAATTGTATTTTTTTGTAAATAATATTCGCTAACGCGACGCCACTGGACCGAAAAATTTTAATCTGTTTAGGGCTAAAATTAATACAACAAATAATATTGCCAAATTTCAACAGAATCGAGTAGACATTTTTTTAGATATTAATATTTTTTTTTAAATTTATTAGGTATATATTTTTTTAACAAGGAGCCGTATTCATAAAACAAAGAATAACCTTGTACTTGCAAATTTTGAAGGCAATCCTCCAGATGGCAATTATAATAATTTGAAGTAAATGCTTTTGCTTTTTGGGTATAAGCATATCCTTCAAAGCAGTGACATAAGTAAAAGGATATTCATAATCTTCACCTTATACTTGACATAGGAAGCATATCCTTGTGGACGTTAGGGATGTTAAAATACAAACCTCGTTTACCTTCACTCTGATGTATGTATTATTTTTCTAGTTCTAGTTACCTTTTTATGTGATTCTGTTAAAAACTGTTTTTTTATAATACATAATAACAAAGTCATTCCTCTATCTGATCTCTTATTCCTCTGGATACTTGTTTAACAAAAAGCCCGGAAATATCGTTAAAAACGACTAAACTGTATGATCATGCTTTTTGCAGTGATGCTTTTTAGCAGAACTTCAAATTTGCATAATCAAAAAGTGCAGAAAAATTAAGTTTGAAAAATTGTTTCTTAAAGTTGACAGTTTCTGTATAATTACCCATTAACTCGTTGACAGCCTGCGCTCCCGCCATTCACCCATGTTCCATGCTTGACAGCCCCGCGGTGTACTGCTTGCATACCATCGCTACGACTATCTACCTACGTATATTCAGATAAGAGATAGACCGGATGTAAACAAAAGGTTCGGGTGATTTTCACGCTAACGCCGCCGTCTCGACGTAAAACAGGAGCCCTCATTGGTCAATTCGCAATTAAATGCCTATGCCGAGCGGCAGAGCAGTCGTATCAGGGCAGAGTCACATTCAGGTTCAGACGTGTTACGTATGTCGTTTGCATCATTGCAATTTGATATTTCTTTGGACGTTTTCGTTTGTTATCTTATTAAGTTGTTGAGTTTGTCGTTGTTATTGTTATACCTTGTTATTGATTGTTATTGTTATCAACTGCTTGCGCAAAATGCCCAGTAGTACAGATACTGCCGATGAAGTTGTAAACTCCTGTAGTCCACCTAGGAAACGCTCTAAAAAAAGACACCTGAGCAAGGTTCTAAACATTAATTCCAGGGGGCAGATAAAACATATTACAAGTAACAAAACTTTTATAACTTTTGATAAAATGCGTGGATGTTTTATTGTCATTTTCATTTGTTAGAACTTTTTTAAGCCATGTTTTTATGTGTTTTCGATATTTCAATAATTTTTTAATATAATCTTAAAATATGTCGAATATTATAAACTTAAAAAAAGTTACTAAGTTTTATATTGTGTACCGTTCCTAATATTTCTAATCATTTTAATTCATACTTTAAGCTTTATAAAGTTATAATTTGTTAATATTAATATTTGCGCGTATTTCAGGTTCCTGATCATTCATTTTTTAAAGGTTTATAACTTTAAATTAAATTGTGAAGCGCTGAGTAATCATACGACGTTCAATATTCTTTCTTTCAATATGACTAAATAATCCCAATTATAGCAATCTGATACTCATGTCTCAATGTTTTTTCGCTGAATGTGATGAAAACATTTGAAAAAGGTTCGCTTATTGAAATAAATCTACACCAGTTAGTATTTCGATTTCCAGGTAAAGGGAAAAGGCTCATTATCTGCCATATTGGCAGTGAGGATGGATTTGTTGTTGACGGTCTGTGGTGCTTTGAGTCTAAGAAAACTGGAGATTACCACGAGGAAATGAATGGCGAATCGTTTGAACAGTGGTTTTCAAAAATTTTACCGAACTTAGAGGAAAACGCAGTAATTGTGTTGGATAATGCGCCTTATCATTCTCGAAGAATGGAGAAGGTCCCAATAACGGCTTCAAGGAAAGTTGATGTTCAAAATTGGCTCCGCTCGAAAAATATCAACTTTGAAGAAGCAATGCTAAAAGTACAATTATTAAGAATTGTCAAGGATCACAAGGCGGAATATCAAAAATACGCCATTGACGAAATGGCAGCAAGTCAAAATAAAAGTGTGCTCCGTTTACCTCCATACCATTGCGAGTTCAATCCCATTGAGCTCATATGGGCAGAGGTTAAAAATTATATAGCTAAGCACAATACAACTTTTAAATTTTGTGACCTCAAAGGACTTTTCAAAGAAGCACTAGAATTAATAACAGCGCAAAAATGGGAAAACTGTATTAAGCACGTGAAAGACAAAGTTGAAAAGAGAATGTGGGAACTGGACAATATTTTAGAGGAACAAGTCGAGCCATTCATTATTGACGTTGGTGCTTCAGGCAGTAGCGATGATGAAAGCTCATCAAGCTCATCTTTCCAATAAAAGATGTCGTTCATCAAATTCGGTAAGTTATAAGTAATTATAAAGCTACTGTATTTTTTAATTAATTATTGACATTTTTGAACCCATTTTGGCAAAACCTATTCAAGAATCTACTTTCTGACAATGTTCAACCATGCACATTTTTTTACGTTTTGAACGTTTTAATTTGGTTACATATTTACCTAGAAATCAAAAAATATACTAATCAATATTCTAAAAGCAATTTTAAGAGATATACGATTATTTTTAATTTAGGCTAATTTAAACGCCATTTTGAGATTATATTCGACTGTATTTCACCAAACATCAGGCGGCATCCGAAGCTGGAAATCGAAGCGAAAATTTTGAAACCCTTATGTATATTTACATCATTATATATTTCTTACCCCACCCCCACATGATCCTATATCCATCACCAATCGTATACACATCGAATTGTGCTAATTTACTACAAAGTTACGCAAAGCAGCATCTACTATCTAAAATATGTACTGCGTGACTCTTAATACGTCCCTGCCGAATGTTACAGCGTTCGATGATCACGTGGTCTTGTTTATGTCTGGTCTATCTCTTATCTGAATATACTGTAACCTTATTTGCGACGTAGGTGATTACGAACGCGCCCGAGCCCCCGCCGTCCACCAATCAACATATACCATCAACCCCGTTCAAATTTACCGCCGTCTGATCCACCAATCAGAGCACGCGGTGGGCGCGGCCAAAAGTGGAAGTGGTGGGGGGCGTACAAGGTGAGCTCATATCTGCCGCGTAAAGTTGGAAAATGTGCCCAAAGTAACTATTGCTTGTATTGTACTCCATAATGTTGAACAAGACCCAGATGAAGGTGAAGGAAATCATGAGAATGACGAACTTCCTCTCCGCCAACTACGTCAACACACAAGAAGAAACTTGAGTATTATAATAAATAGTTTCACTGATTAAAGTGTATTTATAAGTGATAATAAGTTTTATTTTCGTCAACATCATAAGTTACAGGTGGCTTCTGACTCTGCATCATTTCTTATTTCGTTTTATAGTATAATACTTTTGTTGTAAAATACTTGTTTGGTACTGCTGTAATAGCACTAGACGTTGCAGTTATTTTGTAGTTAACCCTTTGGTTTCCTCAGTTTCGTATTTCTCTGTTGCTAATTCTCTTTTTGGTGGCAATTTCTTCTGAATTGCTGGCGCTGTAATACTGTTTGCTCACTGCACTCGGTGTATATTTCACTTCCTTCTTCTTGAACACTACCAACCTGAATGGCAACGATGGAACAATTTAATGGCTTTATTACCAGTTTTTTTTAGATCCGTTATTTCTTCAATCTAGATTTCATGTTGTTGATTTTTTTATAAGCCTTTAGTACCTAATGCTTTACCGAATGTTGATTCGTATTTTTTCAAGGCATCGTCCTTTCTCATTTTTATTTTTGGAACATGTGACTTTTGCAGAATATTGGGAGCAATGGCAATTTCATCTGCGATTGCGTCGTTGCCATTATTTTCTATAGTTTCCTCATCACTTGAGGATGACATGCTTATTAATTTGATAAAAAACTGTATCCAGTAAAAATACGGAACGGTTTGTGTAAGCTCTGGAGTACAACTGTCAGTGATGCTGAGTGAACGAACTCCCACGTCAACTACAAGCTGAAACAAGTCAGGACATGTCGTTCAAGATACAAATACCAGTCAACCTTTTACTTCTTCTTGGAGGATATCCTCGCAAGTACAAGGTAATCATTATGAATATGAAAACAAACCTTTTTCTCCAAAGCAAGACCTTATACTTTTACCTGATGCTTCCGAGGATATGCTTCTCTTTTATGAATACGGCTCAATGAATATCACCGTCTATTTTTCGAACCCCGTGTATACTCTAGCGCCATAGCCTTTTATAAATACGCATAGACTGGTTATAAAGTTGGACGTGCAAGTTGTAAAGAGATCGCCTTATACCGAGATTAACACCGGATAACCCTAATCTAATTACTGCCCATAAAATATTCAGTCCATTAGCGAAACTAAGAATATTCCTAGGGCTGAATTAATTACTTTGCCAGACGTAGCGCGATTCTCATGCATTTTAGCTTAATTCGCATTTTATCATTGTAAAATTATAGGGTACGGAGCAAAAACGAATATCGAGCTAGGCATGAAGTTTTTTATACCTCATTAATGCCTTAGGGCCTCGACTAACGGTGGAAACTCTCCTCATTTTGTAATGGAATCACGTATATGGTTGTCACGATAATGGAAGCCCGTTATTTATGAATGTGAAGCAGAAAAGTATAACTTCATAGAATGGGATCTCGTATCTCATCATTGCTCAACAAGGAGGTGCAAGTTTTAGCTTGTCTCAGTTCAGATCACGTAAGGCTTGATTTAGAAAGAACATATTTCGTATCTACTGGAAAGAATTTTGGATATTTGTTTCGAATTAGAGAGTATACTTTATCTGAAGTCACTTGAAATAGCATAAAAACCTTTGGTCGGCGCGTCCTTTGTAATTTCATGACGTATCATAGGCGTGCGGTCATTTATTTAGAACGATAATAATAATGTTTTTATATCACAATAAATGGATTTTACTATCTTCTTATTTTTTGATTTGGGATAAAAAATACTTATATTGGGAGTTTAATTTATGTTGACTGAAAGTTAAGAAATGGAAAAATTACAGAATTCCAACGTTTGACATAGGCAAATATTTACATAGCAGGTAGGTATATAAAAAGGTATATAAAGACTTACATTATAGGTATTTATATATCATCCTCGCCTTCGGAGCTGTCGCTAGAGTCATCTTGTAGAGGAATTACAACGGGATTTACAGGAGGCAAAACACAATATTCATTTTCTTTTTCAATAATATGCCTAGAACACTGCTTCCATAGGTCTGTGGCAGCAATATGAGATACTGCATCTCTTATTGTGGACAATAGCGATTCACTTAATTGAGGGGTCTGATTATGTTTTCTTACTTTTTTTTTAAAGCAGCCCAGACCAACTCAATCGGGTTAAAAATGCAGTAATAGGGAGGTAGACGTAATACTTCATGGCCATTTTGCTGAAGCAGATTGTCAACAACATACTCTTTTTCAAATTTTTGTCTTTTAATAAGATCCAATAATATGGCTTTGGTTGATTTTTGTGGTATTTCCATTCCCTTATTCTTCATAAAATCAATAATGTCTTGTTTTTTGTGCCTGTATTCGGAATTTTGTTTTTCTGTCGGGAATGGTATGGCGCATTGTTCATAATAATCACTGAATTTGGGGAAATGTTTGGTATTAACTGCTGCTCTATCCACTTTTCAAATAAGTCGGAGGTCGTGTCCTCATGATAGTCGGCACATGATTCTTTGATATTTTTGGCAGATAACAGCAAGACATTAGGTATAAATCCATTTTCACTGCCAGCATGGAGAATAATGATTCGTTTTCCACGGTTGCATGGTGCATTTAAAATGCACTTGTTGCTGTCGTCAACCCAGCCGTACTGCACAACATCATGGGTATCATACCACGTTTCATCCAGGTTTCTGCTCTCTATAGATTTTAACTTTGTGCAAAAATTCTTGGCGCAATTCAACGATTCGAGACGACTCCATAATCACCATTCTTTTATCTAATTTTTTGTATTGAAAACCACACAGTTTTACAATACAGTGCAGTGAGTCTAAGCATTTGTAATTATAAAAATCTTCAGAATAATCTTTTAATTTATCCCGTATCATTTCCAACGTGGGCACCAAATTTTCTTTATAAAATCCGTATATTATTCGACGAATATCTTCCTGAAAACCCACGTCTATTCTTTTTAATTTTTGCCCTATGCGCTTTCTGTGGAAGGAATGGTTGACTACATCTCCCCTTTTTATAACCCGATAAATGGTAGACCGACTGATTTTTGTCAGGATACAAATTCTGTTTAAAATTTGATTTTGCGACGAATCTGGATTTTCGTTTTTCAGACAATCATACATATCTAGGATTACTCTTTGGGTCTGTTCCTCTAAATCTTTATGAAAGAATTCTGCCTGCACAGGTTCATCAACCATCTCCTCGTGGCTTGGAGCATTTTCCCAAGGTCTCCAACGAGCCATATTTAGGACACACAAGAACAATCAACACAACAATTAAATCAACAAGTAAACTGAGTATTCAAAAGTCAAAAACACACAAACTAGTAAAATCTATGAAAAAACACGGACAGACTAAAGAAAACACGTTTATTCACCGCTACACGGCACTGGCTAAACTGTTTCAATTTTCAGTAGCCACCTGCACTTGTTCGGAGCTCTGAAATACACGCTTTCTTATTGGCTATGTCCACGCATAGGCGTTCTTTACTCCACGTGGACCGGTGAAACTGCCTTTGATCTTATACGGGGCATATTTGCTGCGAAATTTGGCGATTTTTGCAGCAACAGAGCGTGTTAAATATAGATATATAAAACGCACCCGGTATTTCACAGTGTTTCAAGAGACTTCAGATAAAGTATACCTAATTTTTTTTTCACTTATGCCAATACATAAAAGAGTTAGAAAGTCTAACAGGGTAATGAACAGAGGCGATTAAATTGCCTCTTTGGAAAATATCATTGTACTAGTACTACTCTCATTTTGATGTTGGTACGTAGGTATTCAATTAATATGATTTACCTAATTGATGTAAACGTAAACAAAGATCGATTTGATTATTGCTTTTTGAAAAAATAGCTATTTCGTGTAAAAAAATTTCTATTTTTCATTTCCATTTTTAACAACCTATTTTTGAAATAAATAATCAATTTTTGCATAAATGATGCCCTCTTTCTGACAGTTGTTATTGCAATAGTTTAACATTTATTCAATAATGCTAAAAAGCCCCGCATTTAGCTTAATCGATTATCGATTTTGATTCTTAAAAAACAAGAATAAAATCTCTAGTTTACCGTTTATTTATAAAATTCAATTTGAAAACTGTACAAGCAAAGTAAAATAGAAAACAAGACATATTTATCTGGCTGAATATTTTTATGAATTTGTCATCAGAATGACCCTTCCATTTAAAACTTTCAGATATCTGCTACGCTTTCTTTCACCTTTCTTTATCTAGCGTGGACTACGTAAATGTGAATATTGGCATAGTGATCATGTTTTGGCTGGAAGGGAAATACTACTCGTACCTCGTCTGTGCCGACGTGAAGATGCATAGGCGTGGTTCAAAAATTTGTTTAATTGACAGTGCCACGTTTTGAAACATCTGCTGTATTGAGATGTGGCAAAACTGGTTGCGGACTCGAAGGTATCTATAATTAACCTGATATGGCATTGTATCACTTGTCAATGGACAATGGACAACAATATGCAATTGAATCGTCATCTCCTGGAGCTTTGAGTGAGTGCACATACTGCTACTCGGCAGTTCCATAGATTACAACCCTGGAAGGAGCTATAAAAACAGTTACAATAAAAGCCATAGCGCACTCAGCTGTCCGCAAGCAGCGTTTACTTATTGTGGAAATAAGATCGCTATTAAAACCCGACAAAAGCCACTTTTGTTAATTCTTTTCCGGAACCACAACTGACGACCTAGCGAACCTTTCACGAAGTTATCATTGTTGTTTCATCTCGAAGCTTTCAGCTGGAAAAATACCATTTGGAGTTGCTGGGAGAGAGAGTGATACCGAGAAAACTCATACACTCCACGCCACATGCACAATTTCCTTTACTATCTAGGATATATAACTATATAAAACTGTACTCGTTTAGCTACTGATACTGGAGTATCATGAATAATTATATTTGTGACAAAAAAATGCACGCCACAGACTTTTGTGCAATTTTTATTATGTTCTTCGCATTAAGCAAATATAAACGCAACTTTTTTGTCTCTTGAATTTTTTTCGCAGCTCGCTTAGTTTTCGAGATAAAAAAACGTCCACTTAATTGCATATCCTTGGACCACACAAGGAGTATGGGGAAACGTTTCTTTAGGAAATTATTATCTTTTATAATTTTTATTACTAATTATGTTATTTGGTATGTGTTGTTGTTACATTTTTACAGAATTTCCTAGGTAGGCCTTGAAATTATCCGATTTCATTTGTTTCGTATATCAGAGCAAATCTCAAATTGAACATGGCAAAAGAGTTTGGAAGACTGAAAAGAAGAGAAATAAATCGAGCAATAAATAATCTACAGAAAAGTGTCAGGCTTTGCCTACAAAATAAATGACATCATTTTGAACGTCTGGTATGATCTACCTTTTCTTAATTATGATTACTATTGTTATTACCATCAATAGAATTTTCATTTTGTTTTGCCTTACAGTTTTTATTCAACAACAAATTCATGGCTAACTAAGGAAATAGATCAATTCCACTTGAAAAACAAAGTTGATGAGGGAGGAAAAAAGAAACATCAATTTTAAAATTTGTCTACGCCATTTTGTAGACGAGAATGATATCAAGTAAAGTCAACGAAAAATAATATGATTTTAGGATTTAAGATAAAATGAAGTATACAAAAGGAATGACTATCTGATAATTTCAAAGAATATCTAGGAAATTTTGTTTTTTTTGGAATAACTAATGTTTGGCAATGTCAATATATAACATATCATACATTTTTGAAATCAGAATTAAAAGCTCTATTCATCTGTGCAAACATCCAACATGGTTCTGTAAAAAAAAAAATAAAATTGACGATGGAGGACAAGAGATGAAACGTTGTATTTAAATACTAATTGAAAGTGGCAATGTCAATGTGCAACATATACTAAGTGACATATAAATCCGAACACCCAGTTCAAATGGTTTTAT